GTTTGCTATGTTGGGCTGGTCTCGAACCCCTGACCTCAGGTGATCCGCCTGCCTCGGCCTCCTAAAGTGCTAGGATTATAGGCATGAGCCACCGAGGCCGGTCTAAATTTCTCTTTTCAAATAACTGGTACAGTTTCTGTCTCCTGACTGGCCCACACTGATACATCTCACTACTGACGTGGTCATTTCCCCCACTGCATGCCATATTTTGGCACTGGATATTCATCTAACTTTCTACCCTACGTTCTGTAATAAAAGCCTCAGTTACAAAATATACATGTGGAAAATTCACCATCTATTCAACTCCAAACTTTACCCTATTGGAACCTTAACCACAATATCATATCTGATTTCAACCCCCTTTGCTTCCAGTCCTCACACCCTCATTCCTACTAAACTCTCTTCTGTCTTCCCTACCTCATTCCGACTAAACTCTTATCTGCTTCTTCTACCACACAGCTGAGCACTTTTAGGAAAATCTTACAGATTCAACAGTCATCAGTTTCAGCAGGAACTTCCATGGCACCCAAAATTCCTTTAATCTGCCCTTGGTCAGCTCTCCTTCCCATTCCCTAGAGGATATTAAACCAAACCATTATTACTTGCCTCAAAAACCCTACTGCCATCCTAACTTCATTTTAGCAAAATGAATTAACATCTTATCTTCAGAAAACTAAAGGCCAGGAATAACCAAAAATTCTGCAACTTCCTAGCTGGGCATAGTGGTATGTGCCTGCAATCCTAGCTACTTGAAGAGCAGAGGTGGGAGGATCTCTTGAGCCCAGGAGTTTGAAGTCAGCCTGGGCAAGACAGTGACACCTCTGTTTCTTTAAAAAAGATAAAATAAATACAAATTAAAAAAAAAAAAAACAAACTTCTGCAACTTCTTGATCGCCCCCTAAAATCCATCCAAAAGAAATTAAAACGTATATCCACAGGCTTATACATGAATTTTTATAACAGCATTATTCATGATAACCCAAAACTATAAAGTTTAAGTCCAAATGTTAATCATTTGGCAAAGAAACAAAATGTGAGGTAGCCTGGAATAGTATTTGGCAAGAAAAAAGAGAACTACAGATACCTACTACAACATAGATGAACCTCAAAAACAGCATGGTATGTGAAAGAAACCAGATGTAAAACCCTACATACAGGTATTGATCGACTTACGACCTATGCAACTTACGACCATTCGACTTTACGACCACAATTGCTAGCCACGACTGCTCCGCATCTGGCAGCGCAAACGTTGCCCAGCTGGGCGTATGACAGTGCGGACCAGTTTCCAGCAGCACTACCATCTCCGCGTGCATATAGCCTATTCAACTTACGACCAAATCGTTTACGACTGGTCTGTCGGAACCAATTGTGGTCGTAAGTCGAGCACTAGCTGTAGTGTATGATTCCATGTACATGAAATGTCCAGAAAGGGCAAAGCTATAGAAATAGGAACCAGATTAGTAGTTGTTTGGGGCTGGGACTGAGAGTGAGGACGGACTGCAAATCAGTGCAAGGAAACTTATCTGGGAGTGATGAGAATGTTCTAAAACTGGACTGTGGTGATAACTGTACGACTCTCTGCATTGGCTAAAAATCACTGAATTGTGTGCATATAATGGGTATATTTTATGATATATAAATTATATCTCAGTAAAGCTACAAAAATAAAGGGGGAGTGGAATAAGTATAAGGGAGTTACTTTTTTAGATAAGATGGTGGGAGTGAAGAACTCTCTGGTGACATTTGGGCACTGACCTTAAAAAAGTGTAAGGTGAGCCATGCAAATGTCTCAGGGAAAAGCATTAGAGGGAACAACACGCATAAGCGTCCCCAGTGGGGACCATACCTGGCAGATAATCAAACAGAAAAAAAAGCAAGGAAAGGGGTAAGAAGCCAGATCAGAGAGATAGTGAGTCATACTGTACAGAATCTTGAAGCTAAAATGAAAGCTTTGAATTCTACTAAGTAAGACAGTAAACAGGATTCTCAGCGAAGGACTGATATGATCTAACATTTTTTAAAGGATTTACAAACTTTATCTTTTCAAAGCCCCACCTTCTGGCTCTGATTTTCTCTTATTTTGCTTTCTGCTCTTTTCTTTCCCTTTTCTTCTTCTTCTTTTTTTTTTTTTTTT